GGAGATCTTCCTACGGGCTGTTTACTTTATCTTGGAATGCAATCCAATGTCTCTCTGGTTCAGCAATTGTCGGTTCTTCCTGCATCTTGCTCTCCATTGCCTCCTTCCCAGTGTTTTTCACTTGGGCAATCATGTCGCAGAATGAGCATTCTACTTCTGTGAAAAAAATAATTTAGAGAGATAAGAAGCCAATTAACGAGCTACTGTCGATAGATTAGCATATGTGGGGAGGAGATTAATAAAAGAAGTGAAAGAGGTCGGCTTGGAACTCCGTAGGTACCAGTTAGGAATGCCAACAAATTTTATTTACCGTTCACTCCTTGAGAAAATGATTCATCCCTTGTTGCTTTGATGTAATCAGCCGAGATATTAGTGGCAAGCAGTTGATGAGTGAGCAACATGAAGCGTATGATGTTCTGGAGCGGTTATGCCACAATGAATGAGAGAAAGGGTCATGCTCGTCTGATGCAAGGGTTTCTTAGGTAACAATTCTCTTTGATCCACCAGAGAGTTGACTATCCATTGTGATAATCAACTCAAAGTTCAAACCAGAATAAAACATCTACACACCGTAGGGTATTGCGAAGAAACCCACCACGGCTTCCACCGTTCAAAATGGCCTCCTATCCGTTATCAAACATGCATATTTCTCATTCGCCGTCTTCTCTCTTCTTGAGGCCAACCAGCAGTTTCCTGACGCAGCAGTGTTTAATGCAGATGTAGTCATTTTCAGTTAATCCAGAAAAATCATTAACTTAAGGCTCTAATCCCTTGAAGTATAGGATATATGAATTGAATAATGATGAATTGCAACAGTCGTGCTACACAGATAGCACCGTCGTGAAACTCACGAATAAAAGCGCATGAATATACCGGTCACTGAAACAGTCTTTAATTGCCTCTAACAAAGTGTTGTAACCATGGTCTTTGATGACGAGCCAATTATAGCTCAAAATACAGATTGGACCTTAAATGAAGCTTTTGTGTGTGAGAAATCTCATAAGAGGCTTGAGGGCCATGAACTTGACCTTCTGCATAAAAGAGAAACGTCTAAGTTTATAGTTTATTTTGTTTAATAGCTGATTTGAAAGGACCCATAAGATGGATTCAATCCGGTGCGAAAATTCGTTGACAAAATGATGTGCAATATGCGTATGGGAAATGGACCCCTGAAATATTTTTGAAGAACAGATGACAACGTCGATACTCGTTTTATGGATGAATCGAAAGCGAATTATGATTAAGTAAACCTAGTTAAGCAAAACCTAAGTACTAGAGAGCTTCAGCTTCACCGCATCCCTATTTAAGACACCGTTAAACTTCATTTTCAGAAGTAATCTTAGCACAGCACCACAGTGTACATGTGTATTACCTGACTGCTTTTTCCCGTAAGCGTAACTTTTTGGCTTCGACGGAAAATTAAGAAGATTCTTGGCTATGTGCTGCTTTGACAGGCTTGAGCAAAGCATGGGCATCAGGGCGACGAAGAACGCGGTGACAGGCGATGATCTGAAAGAGGGAAAAATGACAGATAGTGCAACATGGACGGCCGGGGGTCCTCAGGTGTCCTCAGATGTTCACGTACCTCATGACTGTCGTCTGTTGTCGAGGTGCGCACGCAATGACGTATGGATTGGATCGGGCCAAAGGATCAGGACAGCGAAGCGAGCAGCGATCGAATGAGGAGCAAGCAGCAATGGACGACGGGCAGAGTAAACATGTATTTATAGGAGGGCCTATCGCGAACAGATCTCGACTGTCGACGTCTCGGTAGCGCCACTGTCACCGGCGCTGTCAGCAGCGTCAGACGGGCGACTTTGTTGATCGTTCGCAGAGTGTCAAAAAGTCAGTTGTGTTACGGCACTTCAATTTTGACGTCCCTCTCTAATCAGGCAAGATTTGTGAGGATGATGTAAGGTACGAACGAATGGTAGGCGACGACCGTGGCTACGACGGCGTCGACGAGTACCTGGCGGCAAACCGACCCATCGGCCGACCAACGACCGACCGTCCGACCGCCCTACGAGCGTCGGACGGAACTGGACCCTCGAGGCACGGTGCCACTTGACTGCTGACGTACGACGAGAGCGTACCCGTAGTACTGCCCCCGGGCTGCGGCGTTCGACAAATCACTTGGCGACGCACTCGTCACACGAATGACAGCACTTGTGTATGCTACAACCGACGTACAACGTAGTACGACTCGAACACTGCTCGGTGATCGGTGGAAATGCGCCGGCCGAACAGATGGAACCGTACAGACGTGACAAGTCACCAATTTCTGGAACATACCATAAAAACAAGCGCTCGGTCGCTTTTTGGGCTATGTTTTTGCACACCGACCACCGGCTGCGACGTTCTATTGCCATTGAATTTTAAACGTTTGACTCTATGCGATAACCTATTTACAGGTATCGTTCAGATGTCAACAAGTATGAGCATTGGTATTAATTTGAGTAGTAGCCTTGTTGTTGTTTGTTGTGGTCATTGCCATGAGCCGTTTGCGTAGGTCCAACGCCCGCTGTATTCGTAGCTTTACAACACTTTTGCTCGAAGACAGTGGTCCCTGCAGCGCATAAGGAATGAGTCCACTATGAAAACAGATCTGCCTCCATCTGGTTCTTCAGATGGTTGAGTGCTCGCCTCCTGGTGTAGGTCAGCCGTGTGTCGGTTCCCACAAGAGAAGCTCATGGGCTGGAGTAAACAGTTTATGCTCAACTAGTATGCCTGCCAGTCAACATCCTCGTTTTAATCTCCACTCCAGTGAAGTCACGTGTGCCGAGAAGAGAACGGAGTAAGTGCTTACGTGGTCCTGCCATCTGAACTTCATATGCATCAAATTAAACAACGTTGCTGTACACAGTTCAATGGTCATTCTTGATCCTTCATTAAAATGAGCACTTCCTGCCGTGAAAGACTGTCTTGATGGACTCTAGAAAAGAGCGACATAAATTAACGCGCAAAGACAAAGATTGACATAGCACGTCGCCGCTGGCAGCTCAAAATTACAATGGAATGGTAAGCAGAAAAATGACGTGGCTCCTTCGAAAACAATCTTGTTAATGATGGCAGCGTTGATTCCGAAGTACTGTCAAAATCCCTCGGGCAATCCTCATTCGTACTCCTCTTCGTCCTGAAGAGAACAACCTCTAAGATTCTTACGATAACTGTTGATCTTATTTTGTGTCCCAACCTTGTTTTGAGGTGAAAATGATACAGTAATCCGCAATCGACACGTATGATAAGTTGCACCTGTTTCGCTAGCTGAAAAGTGATATAGAGATGGCGACAGATAGCACACCGGAGGTTGTATCTCTTCGGCACACTCATTGATGGACACTCGGACAATCTATACTGAACTCCTTGGTCACGTTGAACGTAAACACAGCTCATGCAGCGTTCAAGAAACGCCTTTACCAGAACCGTCCACTTTACCAGAATCGAACTCCATTCTGTAATCGATGAAAATGAAACACAGCAGCATTTGCACTGCTTCACTTCGTCAACATAGTCGATAGTAAAAAAACCTGCAAGAAAACGCTTTTGTTCATATCTTGAGAAAATTCAGCTTCTGCTAAAACATTTCGAAGAAACGGCCATAAGCCGTTCCTCATTCAGTATGAGTCTTCGCAGCTCAGCTATAGCGTAGAGCTCACTAAAACCATAAACAGGAGATTCAACTCTCACTTTATCACTTCATTCTCTTTTCCCCTTTTCAATTATTTAATTAAATTAGGCTCTGATATGAATTATCGACCAGAAAAGACTTTAGGAAAATATTTTTAATAAGTATTGTATTAGATACTTTTAGAATTTTTTTAAGATCAAGTGTAAAGTGTGCGCCTAGTTGAAACCTGTAGCGAATTAGGTGTCCGCATGAAAGAGCATCTGTTTATTTGTCAAAAAATGGAATTTTGTAGTCGTTCGAATGTCGGTCTTCCTTACACTTTCATCATTAGGCAATTTCTAACACCCTTCGCTTCATGAAGTTAACGATACGGTGCCAATCTCCATTTTCATGCCATTAGTGAGGAGCGCAATCCTTTAAAGGCAGAGCAGAAAACAGCTGGGTGTCAAGCGTAATGTGTATTCTCCTGTTTCCTTCTCACAGAGAGCAACCGATTTGTTAACTTCAGAAGGAAAACAGGCGAATAACCGACACAGGGGCTGGAACTCAGACCTCTGGATTCTGAGTCTGACACTCAATTGACTGAGAAACCCATTCCGATACCCATCGATTGGGATCCACAGAGCATTCATCAGTCATAAAATGCGTGTTGTGCAAAGACATCAATTCAACGAAATTGTCTCAATTTTAGGTAGAGATACAAATGGTACATAGCTGTTAAATTCCCCTTTCATACAACAGCCGACAAAGATGCCATATGCAATGAATTTGTCCTCCTACGAATGAAGCAATGACTGGGCTGCTATTAAGGAGTGAAGTTCCCTCATACAAATGAACCTGAGGATCTGCTTCGTAATATAATTTACTGTAGAACCATATTAGTTATTTACTTGATGTTGCAGAGTGTGACGCCACGAAACCCGTCATAAATTAAACTTCTAACATAAATTTTAGTATTTCAAGCATAAATCAAAAGTATTAATCTGGAACATCAATGAAAAAAATTAAAAATGCAATAAACGGTCGTTCATTGCTTGAATTGAATCGCCCAATAAAATTTTTGGCCGATTTTGTGTCTGGAGAATATCTTCATTCACCCATAGAAATTTTTATTATTTCACTCTTTACCTCTGAGTGATTTAACTTTTTGATTACAATATCAAAGCTGCCCAAACGTCCGCCGTCAAATACAATATCTGTCACTCACAAGTCGAAGCACAAAGTCAGAAACATTCTATTTGCAGGTATATGTTATTCGGGCATAAAACCAGCTATGAAATCAGCATCACAGGAGTTTGTCTCGTATTCTGATTCCCTGATTCCGGGTTTCCCGCATCATGGCATGTAGATTTCATTGCTGTTTCTCATGGACAGAACATAACCCTCACATTCCAGAGCTTTAGTGGCAGCTATCACGTTGTAGCGTTCCAATTTCGCCCGTAATTATGAAATCTCAATTTCGTATACCTGACTTGGTGCAAGCGGATCGACTCCCCCCCATTCTTCCAGTCGCAAGGGGCACATATAACCGGGCCACGCCTCCACGGAATTTGAGCACTTGGCATGCATTGTGTGTAGGACCACATCTCTCAGTTAGGCCTAAACAAAAGCATGTTAGAGCCCGGATAAGTCTGCCATTATCATTATGCAAATGCACAGACAAAATATTAGCCCATGCTCTGGTATAGGTACGATATGGTAGCATTCCAATTCCGTCGTTAAGCAAAAGATTTCAATTTTTGATACGAGAGTCACTCGGCGTAAGTTTGCCTCTCCTTTGCTTCTAGTCGTAAAGACAAACAGGCGGAATCAGGTGCTACGTGGTAGCTGTCTTGGAAAATCTGGGTCATCGTTTGTTC